TTCCCCACTATTACTGTAATTCGAGTCATAATACCTATCTAGCTGGATTGCAAATGAAGGGCGAAGCCACTGTCGAAGGTTACATCTATGCATTGAGGAGGGGAGCTCGCCTCTTGGAACGTACGTTTTTCTCTGTATAGATGAAGACTACATCAATCTATTTTCAAACTCAGGATCTTCAAAGTTCAATTTCATCTCATATTTCACTTTCTCGAAAAAAAAAAACTAGGTTTGAAATTGAACGTTAATCTCAGTGGACCTATTCGATGGTGAGCACGGAGAGCCTATCATTACGCATAAACGAACACTGATTGACCCGATAACTTTGAGAAATGCCCTCGAAGCTATCAAGGTATGTCGATTCGAGCAAAAGCAGAGCCATATCATATATTTGCTTCATTTCGCCACCGCTGAGAAATAATTTTTTTGCAGCGATGTGCCTTTGAGTCTACACCATATCCAGTGATACTCACCATTGAAAACCATGTTGGTCTAGTACAACAACGAGTCATGGTTGATGTATTTCAGGAAGTATGTTCTGTAATCATTCCTTCATACTACAAATTATCACTATCAGAAAAAACATATAGATCAAAGAGTACTTTTGCAGATTCATATCTTTATCTAACAATAACCCTTCATAACTTATTTGAAAAGAAAACTTCCCAATTTTCTCATAATTGTAGCTCCAACCACATCCTCCAATCATCTAATTTGCAGGTTCTTGGCGATTTGCTTTACATCCCGCATCCAAGATCATCCCAAATTGATCTGCCTAGCCCGAATGAACTGAAAAAGAAAGTATTGTTGAGAGGCAAAAAGCTTGGAGAGAGTGGCGATGTTCCCGACGATGTGGACGAAGAGGATGTTCCCGCAAAAGGAAAGGTAAAAGTTGGATTACAGGTATAGAACTTAGACTAGAAAAATTCTTTCAGGGTCCTCATACGGTACCTCTCGACCCAGCGTTCTCAGCGCTCATCGCGCTTCCATCAGTGAAACTGTCCCAGAACATCTACGGTGACATACAAACACGTTGGTTTTTATTGAATTAGTACTTGTGATATACCGCGAAGCCCTACAGTTCTTGGATAATACAGTTTAACGCTAGGACTACTTCATTAAAGCTTTCACTCTTCAATAACTTTAGATGGACATAACCTACAATCTAAAGGTTATCCAACACACGCATCTTATGTTATATTTGATGCGTAATTGTATCATAGACGACTACGTTCTGAGAAGTTCTGATGAATTGTATTGTGGGGTGCTACCTTCTTA